CTTTTTGACAATTATGTGGAGATTAAGAGTCTCACTGTCTTTTCTGCCCTGGCTGGCTTTGAACCGCCATCTTCAGATCTCAGCCTCCTGAGTAGCTAGGATTACAGGCGTGAGCCACCGGCGCCCAGCCTGGGAGACTCTTAGCTCCAGTTAACCACCAAAAGAGCCAGAAGTGGAGCTGGGACTCAAGGGGCAGCATGCTAGTCTGGAGCAAAAGAAAAAACCGAAGGCAAGCACCTAAGCCCTGAGTTCAAGTCCAGTACTGGTACACACACACACACACACACACACACACACACACGTGCACACCTGACCTGTCTTGAGTTCACCAGGGTCCCCTCCTTGACCCCTGCCCCCCACGCAGGACCGTGACCCCTCTTAACCCCCAGCTCTACAGTGGAGCTCTGGCCTGGCCTGCACGGGCAGCAGGTGGCCAGCAGCACGGCAGACAGACAGACAAACGGATGCTCATCTGCCAAGACAGACTCCCCTGTCCCGCACTCCCCCACTCAGAGCCCAACAGGCCTTGTTGGCGTGGGGCTGTGCGCTGAGAGAGAACATTCCGGAACCTCTGCCTCTTCCTTTCTGCCACGGGGAATGTGCGCTCACTCCACGAAGGAGGCAGCGGCGCATCTTGGAGCGTGGACCCCGGGACGTCCACAAGGCCGGGAACTCGGGGCTAGTCACATGACCACGTCCCTTCTGTCCAGCCTTTATTTATTTCCCTTTTTGCCCATTTCAGAGCTTGAACTCGCAGCCTTGCTGGACTCGCTTGGCTTGAGTCAAGCCTCCAGCCCGACTTTTTGCTGGCTCACTGCAGACACGTCTCACAGACTTTTCTGCCTGAGTTGGCTTCAGACTGTGATCCTCAGATCTCAGCCTCCTGAGCAGCTGGGGTGACAGGCGTGAGCCACGGGTGCAGGTGTGTGTGTGCGCGTGGGCTTCACCAGGGTTTTGCCGTGGTGTTTCAGACATGTGTGTATTATAATCGGCACAATCCTGTTCCCCGTTGCTTTCTCCGCTGGTCGGTGTCACCAGGGAGTGGGCAGGGAGCGCGGATGGCCGCACACACACGCCCAACCGTCAGGGAGAGGCAGCACCACCGGACCCTGGAGGCAGCCAGGGTGCCAGCCTTTGCAGCACCATCCTGGAGGACAGGGATGGCGGGAACTGGGCTGCAGTGGGGTCCCCAGAGCAGGGGTCACCCCCCCACCGAGATCTGAGTCACAGCTCAGTCACTTCCTGGCCCCTGGCTCCCAGGGGCGTCACAGGCGAGGGGAGCCGGGGGTCCGGGAGCTTGGCGTGGAGCCGCTCGGTGGGCCTGGCTTCGTGTCCCTGTGGGGCGGGACAGGGCAGACAAGGACGATCGGAGGGACCGTGGCTGAGGTCAGGTCCCTCTGACGCTGGCGCTGTGTGTGCTGGGGCAGATGGATGGCAGCACCTCTCTGAGCTGTGCAGTGGGGGTGAGGGCCGTGCACCCCACGTGCACGGCAGGCTGGGGCTGGGGACTAGGCCCGGGGCCGGTGGGCCTCTGTCCCATGCTGGGCTGGGGGCTGCCCAGGCCGGACCGGTCCTCACCCCTGCCTGGAGCCAGTCCCAGGGACTGCCGCCCTCTGCTGGCAGGACGCGGTACTGCACACAGAGCTGCCGCTCTGGGACGACCCTCCTCCCCCCCTTCCCCTGGGTCGAGGTGCCCTGGGCCTCCTCTTGACCCCTGCCCTGCGGCCTGTGCCCGGCCTGCCACATCCGTCCGTCCCCTCCCTCGGTGCCCTGTAAGTCCCTGAGGCTTTGGAACCTGCGAGGACTGGCTGTGCGGCCTTCACAAGCAGCTTGGCCTCTCTGAGCCTCGGCCTGGTCTTCTTCAGACGGTCAGTGAGGAGCAGGTGTGTTCCAGGCTGGCCCCTAGGCCCCCGGCTGTCTGTGTGTGTGGAACCACGGCTCTTTGTCACAAGCCCCTGGGTTTCGTGGCCTGGGCACTGCAGAGCGCAAGTCCAGAGCAGCCCACCCCCACAGACAGACCGGATCGGGGGTCAACGACCAGCCCAGAGGGAGGCAAGGGGGTGACTGCAAGTGTATGAGCAGCCAGGGAAGAACAGGTCATCTTGAGTCCAGAGAAAGAAAGAAAGAAAAAAAAACAACAAAATGAAACACAGGTGCTGAGAGAAAAAATTTAAAAATGGCCGGGAGGCCTAGTTTGACACCCTCACAAGTAAAACTGAGAAAGGGCCAATGGGGTAAAGGACAGAGGGAAGATTACTCTCGGCATGAAGCATGTGCAAAGGTCCTGTGGCCAAGACAGTTGAGTGTGATCAAAGGCAAGGGGCAGGGAGGAGGGGGGCAGGGAGGA